GTCGTAGTGGGGCTTGGGCGCCTGGCTGCCGCCCTCGGGCTGTCGCTTCAACAGCTGCCTCCATCCTACCCATTGCTGTGGAGCTTCTCCCTCCAGGATGCGGCTCCCATCGGCGAGGCCGCCCCCCTTCGGCAGAGAGACCAGGGGCCGGTCGCAGGACGCGATGTGCTCCGGCTCGAAGACGTAGCCGTGCCCAGGTCCGCACAGCTCTCGACGGGCTGCCGCGGCGTTGCAAGCTGGCGGCGGACCGGCATCCTCCACCACGTGCCTGACGCGCTCCAACCCGCACTCCTGCGCGAGCGAAGCCTTGCCATCGACGGGCAGTGACCCGTGGCCGTACAGCTCATCGTGGAGGTGCTCCTTCCTGCGGAGGCGGCTCCTCGCAGCCCGGCTGCAGGCGCCCACTGGGGGCGCGGGCGGCGGGCCCGCGGGGATGGCCACTGGCAGCAGCTCCCGCGGGACCGCCATGGGAACCTCGTAGGCTACTTGGCCCCCCGGCCGCCACCGCGGCCGCGTCCTCCGCCAGCGCCTCCGTCGCCAGCAGATGCACTCTCACCGACCTTGTCCATCAGCCTACGGATCTCCGCGGCCTGGGCGTTCACCTTCTGCTGCCAACCCTGCGTCGCCGCCGCTGAGGCCCCACCCGACGGGGGCACGGCTTGCCTGCCGCTCCTCCTTCAACTTCCTGCGCTCCTTCATCACGGATGCCTCCTTGTGGAGCTGCTCGGTGATGTGGTCCGAGAGGTCTGGGCTCACCATCACCATCCCGCGCGTGAGGCCTGTCCCCATGTAGAGGAACTCGTCCTCCGCGAACTCGTCCCCACCGTGCTCCCCTAAGATCTTGTCGCGATACCTCATCTCCGCGAGGTGCGCCCTCCTCAACAGGAGCTCGAAACTCGCCAGCTCCGTGATGTTGAGCTGGTCGTAAACCACGGCCAACTCTATCATTCTCATCGCCAGCTCGTGGTCCTGACAACCGACGTCCTGGCCACCCACCCCCGCTTCATGTCTCCATGTCGTGTGCCGCGCGCGGGGGTGGGTGTCTTGCTCAGCAATGAAATCGAGACACCACCGAGCGGTCCTGGGGCCGAGAATTGGCCACGCCGCCCAGCTTGTCTCGGTCATCTCTTTCACACTATCTTTGAACGGTCGCCGTCTCTCTCCACTCGAGCTCTGGACGATACTGAGCACGCGTGCGTCTGAGTCCAGGTCGTCATCGATGCCCGAGCTCCTCCGCAGCAGCAGCACCTCTGAGCCTTTCACAGCGAGGGCGCCGACGTCGCAGACAGCGAACTCGTCCACGCTCAGGCTGCTCAGCAGCGACTTGCGGGGGGTGGCGCCCGTGCTCCAGACCACCTGCCAGCCGTCGGGCGTCGGCGGCGGCAGCGACCGCGAGCCGACCTCAATCAGATTCGCCGCCACTCCACCCCCAGCTGCCGCTGCTCCCAGCCGTGGCTCCTGCCACTGGTCGCCGAGGGACAGCTTGATCATCTTGGCGAACTCCAGCGGCGTGGCGCTCCAGTCTGTGCCATACACGCGCGTGCGGTTGGTGAACCGGCTGCCGAGGAGGGTCGCTCAATCTGGTCGGCCCGCGTCGTCGCACAGGATCAACCCGCTGAGCGGGCCCACGTCCAAGCAGTGAGGGTAGGCGTCGCCGTCCGGCGTCCCGCACCACCAGACCTTCCCAGCCGCTATCTGATCGGGAGCCGCTTGAACCTCCATGATCGTCAGCAGCTCGTCGGCTGTGGCGGGAGCGATGGCGACGCGGGCCTGCCAGTCCTGCCCATCCCTCCATTGCACGAGCAGCCTCCTGCCGGCCTCCACAGCCATGGAGACACCCGCAGCACAGCGCACTCGCCAGGATGAAACCGAGGATGAACGAGGTACTCGCCAGGCCACGAGCTCCGCCGAAGAGGTCCAGCACAGCTACGCACTCGCCCGTGTTTGCCACCACGGGCGCCAACACACTCCTGACTGTCTGAGAGGCTTCCCAGCCTCGGGAAAGTATACTCCAAGAATTGGAAAGAAGGGCAAGCTGCATGCGGGCTAGCCGCAAATTAATGCACTTGAGCCCGATGTCCATGGATGCACATCGGTTTATCGAGGCGGCTGCGCTACAACTTAGAGCACTAACGTTTGAAAAACTGAACCCTATGCATATACATATACATATATATATATACACATACATATGTACATACATACATACACACATATATATATACTAGAACCATCGCGCGCGCTTCGCGCGCGCTCAGGTTCTAGCAGGCCCCAGGCCTTGACGAATTCACTGCTCCACTGAAGTAGTGAACCACAGTCCACGCATGCCAATCTGCATTCCGAAAGGCCTTCGAGGAAAATGGTTGTGTAGGGGGGCGGAGGCCGTATGAATCTGGTTCCCAAAAGGCCTTCTGGGAGCATGGGTTTGGGGCGTCTTGGGGAGCCTGTTGGGGCGTGCCGTCGTCGTCGTCGTCGTCGTCGTCGTCGTCGTCGTCGTCGTCGTCGTCGTCGTCGTCGTCGTAATGTCGTCGTCGCCTGTTGGGGCGCGCCGTCGTCGTCGTCGTCGTCGTCGTCGTCGTCGTCGTCGTCGTCGTCGTCGTCGTCGTCGTCGTCGTCGTCGTCGTCGTCGTCGTCGTCGTCGTCGTCGTCGTCGTCGTCGTCGTCGTCGTCGTCGTCGTCGTCGTCGTCGTCGTCGTCGTCGTCGTCGTCGTCCTCGTCGTCGTCGTCGTCGTCGTCGTCGTCGTCGTCGTCTGCGTCGTCTTCGTCGTTTCGTCGTCGTCGTCGATTCAGGAGGGCACTTGGGGCAACTTTGTGCGAAACGATCTGCGGAGGGCCGCGAGAAGGCGATCAGTCATGCTCCCAATCAATTTCCCAGACAGCTCTCCTGTAGCATGATGGTACTTCGAAACCTCCGGAGACTGAGCGGAAACACCACGTTCTCGCCATTCCGATTCAAACAGCGTTGGGACTGTTATGCTTCACGTCCTCGGCGGGGCCACGAGATGATCTGAAGACCGCCAGAAAATCCGTGGCGCCCTGCTGCTACATTTTGAGAAACGGGTTTGTGCAATTGTCCGGCACTCGCGGATTAGCTGGGACTGAATCACGCGCGCCACGATCGAAAGGCATGTTCGTTGTTGCCCGTTGTTGTTTTGACATTAGGATATTGTCCGGTCTGCTCAGCTGGACACTGTTATGGCAGTGGCCGCCTGTGACAAAAATGGACTGGCTATATCTCGACCCCCAAGCTCGACCTTCACCATGAAAGAGCGAAGGCTGAATAGAAGTGGCAAGTGTAGGCACTTGTGCAGCTTGGCGTGGCTGGATCTTGATAGCAGCAGGCACACGAGAAAAGGTAGGCCAAAGACAGCTGAGAATGCAGAGGCGAAAGCCGCTTGATACGATACTGTTTCCATCCTACTACAAGCCACCTGTGCACCCATAATCAACTCTGGTAGTGTCAGGCCGCGATGTACAATCACACTGATCTTGATGTCAAGCTTCTTTGTGTGGGTTGCATTGCCGTTGACCAAGCCAAGGCGTGTTCAACTGCTCCTGGTCCCCTGAGACATTCGGTGACACAAATCGGTGCTTGACATGTTCCGCGAACTCGAACAGTACACCTTGTGGGGATTGCCTACACAAATCGTGTCAGGGAGGCCACAGGAAGCCAGGGGCGCTGGGGGGCATCCGAATCAGCTCTTAAGCCCCACCCCGCAAACTAGAACTGTTAAGGGCAACGAGGACTCACTTCAGGGCAAATGCCGCCGATTCTACCCTTGTCATCATGCCAGAGCCACAAAAAGCCAAGAGGAGCCACGGGCAACGAGGGCTAACAAATCGGTTCTTGACCACGAGGGAGGCCACAAGGCACAAAGGGCCACGGGCCACGCCATCTGAGCTGTGCCCCGAAACCCCATCAATGGACCACGAGCGAGCATTTCAAACACTTTGTTTTGTCTCGGACTCGGCGGACGCGTGAATCGGTCGGAGCAAACGCTGAGCCACAGCGAACCGAATTGAGCAGCAGTTCAAGCACTCACGCAATCCAGAGAACCTCCCACCAAACACTCCACACATTCCAGTAGTTTAGACGTGCAGCCACGAGAGATCCACAAGGGGCGAGAGGCCACTTGCCGCGCGCAATCGACTCCAACCCTGGAACTCGAAGAGGGGCCACGAAGGGACCACGAGTGGGCCACGAGGCAAACTACAATACAGTCACTACAATATCCCCACTCCGCTGGCCGGGGGAGCCTAAATCTGAACGTGACCCCCTCCCCCAAAGGGTCACGAGGTTGCCGCGAGAGGGGGGCAGCGAGGCGCGAGAGGCCACGGGCAACGGGCACCCGAATCCAACACTCAACCCCGAGAACAAGACAACAAGGATAACCACGATACACTAGAGGCCATGGGCAACCGAATCCAAAACTGAAGCACATTTCGGAACCACAGCGAGGGCCACACGCGGTCGGCGCTAAGCCACAGGCCACGGGCAACCGGAGCCCCACAAATGAGCTACGACTCTGCGAATGAAGTGCACGTTAATCGACAGACCACTGCCCCTAGGCAACCAAGTCCACCCGTGGAACTAGAGCCTCGGATAACCGAGTTCACTCCTGAAGCCTCACCTGAGGGCCATGAGATCATCAGCGAAACACAAAGGCCACAGGCCACGAAAAACCAAGTCCAACACAAGAGCCCCGCCAGTGGCAACGAAGGAGTCACGAGGGGGTCACGAGGGGCACGACATTTCCAGACTATGAGTCAGGAGCACATGTGTCCAACAGGGAAGCCCCCCTGTTAGAACGTTGGCGCTGTCCCGCCCGCAGGGTTCAGAGGCAGATTGGACACATGCTTGACAGCCACGTGCCACAGACACCAGGCAGCCAATGACGGAGGCCAGAGGCGCGAGCACTCACACAAGAACATGCCTGCGAGCGCCCGAGCACGCGTGGCGAGGAAGGGCGGGGGAGAGGAGGGGGGGCAAGGGTGACTGCCTAGGCCAGCTGAGCCGTCAGCATCTGAATCTTGGCATCGTGCGACTCGATCTGCCTCCGCAGCTCCTCGAGCTCCCTGGAGTCCCGCTCCGCCTGCGCCCTCAGCTCCGCCAGCTCCGCCAGCTCTGCGGCCGTTCCGGCATCCACGGGCTCTGGCGCTGGCGCCTCCGGCACGACTAGCGCAGCAGCCTCAGATGGCTCGGCTGGCGCTGCGGGCGCCGCTGGCGACCTGGTACAGACCCGTTCCCGTGAGCTCTTGTCGCTTTCCCTGTCGCTGCTCTCGCCGCCGCTGCGCTTTGCGGCGCGATCAGGTGAGCTGTCCCCAGAGGAGCTCCTTGACCCTTTGCCCTTGCTGCCCTTGTCCCTCTTCTCCTTCGGGAAGCGGCTCCGCTTCCTCCTGGCCGAGTGGCTGCGTTTCTCTCCTGAGCTGGACCGGCTCTCCTTCTGGTCTCTCCGCGACCGCTTGCCCGAACGGCTTCGCTTCCCCCTTTCCGAGTCGGAACGGCTGGCCTTGCGGCCCTTCTTGGCAGCGGCACTGCCGTGCTGCCTCCTGCTGGTGGACGCGCTCCTCACCCGGCGCTCGCGCGATCTACTTCGCCTCCTGTCTCTGGTGCGACTGCGCCGCCTGCCCTCCAAGAAGCTCCTGGAGTCCACGACGGGCGCATCATAGTCCAGGCATCCAGACGTGGGCCGGCCCGCCTTCGCCGATTTCGGCGCCTGGAAGTCCACCCTGATGGGGACTCCGTTAAGCTCCGCGCCACTCTTCAACGCCGCCACGGCCTGCTCCGACGCATACTCCCTCGCGAACCGCACCGTGGCCACGTCGTTCTTCGGATCGCCAGAGGTCGGTGGTTTATGCAGCGACAACACCTCTCCGAATTGCTCCATGAAGGATTTCAGCCATAGGCGTGTGAGTCGGCCAAGGCCCTCATCGCTGGTCCCAGTGATTTCTAAGAAGCGCGACATCGCGTGCAGAACTCCCGCAGCGCCTTCAGGGCAGAACTACTGCGGCCCTGGCTGGCAGGCAGCCTGTGGCGCCAAGCCTGGGCCAAAATGGCTGCCGTCAATCTGTCGGTCGCTTTCGGTGGGAGCCTTGGGATGGGCTTCTAGGTTCAGTTGTCGGCCGATCCTGGATAACAATCTCTACGACCCAGCGCGCGGCCGTGTAGGCCGATTCGGTGCAAATCTACGCTTCTCGAGCGCACGCCTCGACAATGGGCCCACTTCCCCGCACAAATCTGGTCAGCGAGCGGACTACGCGGAACGCCCAGCGGCGCGGCTGCGCAGAAGGGTGCTGCAAAGCACGCAAGAGGCTGTTACCACTGGAGGAGGAAACCAGATTGGGAGGGTGCGGGATACGCAGAAGTCTCCGCCTTTACCTCGGCATACCCATACCGCACCAATTCGAAGATCGCACACACTGTTGAAAATGGTGACACAGTCGGAGGAAGCATTGCCGCACCTCCCGTACGACCGTCTTCGTGTTGCTGGTAATACTGCAAACTATCATCAGCCCTCTGAAGTGTCCCCAGGCAGTCGAGGTGTGGGGGAAAATATCCAACGTGCCACTGGAAAGCCCCCCGCGTGTGTATCAGCAACGCCCGAACATCGTGCGTTCGGGTGCCCCCGTTTGCCCCCTCCGGTCCAACCGATATCCCCGTGCTCGGAACAGCCGTAGCTTCACAAGATTGTCTCTTTGCGTAGCGTCCACGATCACCTAATCACCCCATGTGGCCTCCAAGCCCCCACCCCCCACTACCGCAGCCCGGAAACCGAGAATCACAGCAGCCAAATGTTCAGCAAGAACAGAAGCGCAGACTACGCAGCACCGTGCGTGACCGAACCCCACACGCACCTGCGTTCGCCATCGTTCCTCTCCCCCTGCTAATCCTTGGCACCCACTCCCCCCTCACCCGTCTCGGCCCTCCGCCCTCCTCCTCCTCCTCCTCCTCCTCCTCCTCCTCCTCCTCCTCCTCATCCTCATCATCCTCATCCTCATCATCATCATCATCATCATCATCATCATCATCAACATCATCATCATCATCGTCGTCGTCATCAGCATCAGCATCAGCATCAGCATCAGCATCAGCATCATAGTCATCACCATCATCAGAATCAGCATCATCACCATCCTGTTCGTCCTCATCACAGGGTTCATCCTCCCCCTCCTCCGCCAAAGCCTTCCGCCTGATTTTTCTCCGACTCCTCATCCTGGTCCCACCCGTCCTTCTCCTCCGAACTCCTCGTCCACCTCCTCATCGTAATCGTCATCATCGCAATTGTCGGCATCGACGTTGCGATCACAGTCGTGATGGTCATGGTCATCGGCATCATATCGTCATCACCAGCAGCAGCATCAACATCATCAGCATTCGTCATCACCATATCATACTCATATCATCAGCATCGTCAGCACCATCATCAACCTCATCATCATGATCATCATCATTATCAGCAGCAGCAGCTGCATATTCCTCAACATCCTCATCATCGCCAGCATCATCATCAGAATCAGCATCAGCATCATTATCAGCATCATCGTAATCAGCCTCATCGATATTATCAGTAACATCACCATCATCATCAGCAGCAGCATCATCAGCATCAGAATCAGCATCAGCATCAGCTGCATCAGCATCAGCGCAATCGTCATCGTCGTCGTCGTCGTCATCGTTGTCATCGTTGCCACCGTTGTCATCATTGTCATCGTCATAATCATCGACATCAGCATCGTAGCGTTCGTCACCGTAATCCTCGCCTGAATCACCATCCGCATCAGCAGCATCTAAAGCATCAACGTCATCTTAATCATCGTCATCGTCGTCACCGTCACAGTCATCATGATGCCCTCTCCTTCTCCTCCAGATCCGCCTCATCCCCCTCCGTCTTCCCTCCTGCCTCCTCCAGCCCGAACTTCTCCCGCCAGCCCACCCACCAGCGCAGGAGCTACCCTGCACTGGACCGCAGCGGGCGGGCGGAGGGGCGCAACCGGCCCTGGCCGCTCTTCTCTGACCATTCCCCCGGGTGCTCGTGCCGCCGAGCCGCGGGCGTGACGTCGATGTGGTGGGCCCCGTCTGGCCCAGCGAAGTAGTTCTCGCCAGGCAGGCTGAACGTGAGGTTGGCCAGACCAAGAAACGTCAAGGCTTGGTTGTTGCCCAAGAGCCCCGCTGCCAACTGGACGCGGCTCTCGTACCTTGCCCCTCCCACCCCCCTTCATCCCTCCTCATCCTCCGATTCCTGATGTCTCCCCTCCTCCCTCCAACTCCCACCACCTCCTTACACCTTCCACTTCCCACCTCATGCCTCCCCTCTCGCCTCTCTTGCTCTTCCCTCTCCTATTCCTCATCCGCCTCCTTGCTCCGCATCCTCCAGCCTCCTCCTCTACCCTCCTCCTACTACTCCTACTCCTCGTTTTTCTTCTCCTACTAGGGGGCGCAGGAACCCCAAGTATGGCCGGGATGGGTACACATGTGCACACCCCCATCGAAGGCTTCGTATGGCGCACAGCTCCAATCTTACTAAGGAGCCTCAAACAGCGCAGAGAACCTGCGTATGAAGTCGTCAGCGCACACGGCTCGCCCACCCCCACCTCTGGTCATGCGTGACAAGAGCCAGACGGCAAGCATATGCAATCTCACCCTGGGCAAGATGGACCATAGGGCGCAAGCATCCAACCTCCATGCGCAGGAGGCGCCTGCGCGTACGCGAGCGCCCAACGGTAGGCCCATCCCGCCGTACCCCACCCCTCACCACACCCCGAAAAAAATCGCGATCCGCCGAACACCTCCCAATTCCCGTACGAACAGGGTCCGGCTGGACAGAGGGTTGGAGTGCCAGCGGTGCTGGCAGGCTGGAGATGTCGCGGTTGGGAGACGGGCCGAAGTGCGGAGGAGGAGGAGGAGGAGGAGGAGGAGAAGAAGAACAAGGAGGAAAGGAGGAGAGGAGCAGGGAGCAGGAGGAGGAGGACGGCGAGAAGAAAGAGGACAAGGAGAATGAAGAGGAGGAGGACAAGGACAAGCAGGAGAATACAGGGTCAAACGTGGAACGGCACAGGGATGGGCAGCGAGCACCACCGAACGGCCTGGCCTGGTGGCTCAGAGGGGCATGTAGGGGGCGCGGAGCTGGCACGAGAGAGGGGGGGGGGCAGGATGTGAGAGCAGCAGGAAGAATGAAAATGGGGGCACGAGCGCCCGCGACGTGAGGAAGAGGCAGGAGTCCCTAAGGGGGGAGGACGGGGGGACGGAGGGGGCTCCAGGAAAAACGAGAATGTGAACCAACATTGCGGTGGGAGGTCGGCGTCGGCACAAGAATACTTGCGACGAGCACCACCGTACTTGTGAAACAAAGTAGCGGCAAGAGGTCCCCGTGGCCCCGTCGGCACAAAAATACTCGTGACGAGCACCGCCGTACCTGTGAATTAAAATGGCGTCTAGAGGTCCCCATCGGCACAATAATACTTGTGACAAGCCCCACCGTACCTGTGATCCAATACTGTGGTCCTAATCTGCCAGGGCCCGTCCGGCCCCCCAAGCGCCCAGCGTGTTGCCGCCGTTCGTTCCTCTGGATGAAACCCGCGCTGCGGCGACGAGCGTCTCCTGCTGTGCGCGGAATCGCGCGTCGACTCTGTGAACCACGACCAGGCACTTGAGGCAGCCTACTCTTGGCTAGAGGCGCAGAGGCAGCGTGTTTCGCCGCGCTCTCTGCCTCTCCCCAGGTCTGTCTGCAGGAACCCCCTCGGGTCCTGCAGCCTTTAGGTGCATGCTTCTTAGAAGCTGCACCACCTGGCTTGTCCATGGCAGCTCAGTGCTGTCTTTGGCACCGCGGTCGATGCCCACGGCAAAAAAAACAGGCACTCGAGGTGCGGCGACGACCGTCGCGGTCCACCAGTGGCGCTGTGGCCGGCCGCCGGGACTTAGCCCGTGGCCGCGCGCGGCGGCGTGGAGTGGAGCTTCCCGTATTGCGACGAAGAGAGCGGCCCTGCAGCTATCGTTATGTCGGGCGTGTCCCCCTACAGGGGGATTTTCGACCGAAAATTAAGAATACCTGGACCGAGTGATCTTGCCTTCCTGAAGAGAGCCAGAGCTTGAGGAAAGACAGGGGGCTGAGTAAAGGACAGGGCACACGGCAATGTCCACTACCTCGACTCCATTCGGAGACCTCCGCAAATGCTGAAGAAGGATGGCGCCGTCCGGCTCGACCTCTGGAGTGTCCCAGAACTTGCATCTCTCTCTCTCTCTGTTTGCCTCTCTGCCCAGCAATTCTCCCCTCACGATCTTCTGTCGTACGCAGGTCCCCAGCAGCGTATTCCATCACGGGCTGAGGAGGGCCAGACGAGAGTGAGGGAGAGGAGGGACTGAGAACCCAGAGCAAGGAGATCGACTCCTCCTCCTCCTCCTCCTCCTCCTCCTCCTCCTCCTCCTCCTCCTCCTCTTCCTCCTCCTCCTCCTCCTCCTCCTCCTCCTCCTCCTCCTCCTCTTCCTCCTCCTCCTCCTCCTCCTCTTCCTCCTCCTCCTCCTCCTCCTCCTCCTCCTCCTCTCCAAACCCCTGGCGAGGGGGAACGCAAGAGGGAGGGAGGCAGTGGAGGGGAGAAAGAGGAGGGGTCTGCACACTGAAAGGTGCTGGCGCTGATGGGGCCGTCACTGAAGTTCATGGCACGGGCTGGTCGGGGAATCGGGTAACTTCATGAAACGATTTCTCATTCGAGGTCGAACCCGGCATCCTCCTTTTCCTCCACTTGCCGCTTCGACAGCGCCGTATCATCATCATCATCATCATCATCATCATCATCATCATCATCATCATCATCATCATCATCATCATCATCATCATCATCATCATCATCATCATCATCATCATCATCATCATCATCATCATCATCATCATCATAATCATAATCATCATCATCATCATCATCAGCAGCAGCAGCAGCATCATCACCAGTATCATGATAACTGTTTCGTTCGGCGGAGAACAGAGTTCTGGAAACGAAGGCCTGCTGCGATCAGCGGGAAGCCCCTCCAAAGCGTTGGGCTGAGGCCCATTGGGCCTCATCAGAAGACACTTCAAACCGTCCCTACGGGGGGGGGGGAAACAAAAAAAAACAACAACAAAAAACTCCAGGGCAGGGCGGGCTGGGCGAACCAAGTCGGCGACGGAGACGCAGCTGCAAGAAGGGCGAGCACGCGGGGGCTGGCAACTGCTGCTGCTACTCTAAGACACGACATCCCACTCCTCTCCAATCATGTCCGCGCACGCACCCCCATGATAACTGTTTCGTTCGGCGGAGAACAGAGTTCTAGAAACGAAAGCCTGCTGCGATCAGCGGGAAGCCCCTTCCAAAGCTTTGGGCTGAGGCCCATTGGGCCTCATCAGAAGACACTTCAAACCGTCCCTACGGAAACCCCCCAGGTCCCCTACACGGGGTGAGCATTATAGATGGAGGCTCTCGCGAGGGTGGAGAGGGACCGAGCGAGCGCAGAATTTAAAAGCCCTGGTCTCCTTTCAGTCCAGACAGCGCGCGGGGTGCCATTAGGTTCCCGCCCTCGCAGATGCCATTGTTATTGGTACAGACTTGCCTAAGTCTGTGGACGTCCTGCGAATCACCAGTGACCAAGAAGACACATCGATGTCGCCAAGAAGCCCCATACATGCACCTATCGCTGACGAAAGTTTCGAAGCTACACTGAGGCATGCTATGCAAGGCTGCCAGCAAAGGAGGCCAGCAGCGGTTGCCTTGCGGCATCTCGACGAGACAAGGCACACGAGCAGAGCAACATTCACTGATTATCCGTGCCACCCTGTCGGCAAAACGAAAGATACAGAATATGTTGGTTCGCGCTCCTGTGACCTGACGACACCGCGAACTGTTGGCAACATGAACAACGCTACACATTCTCTCCTGCGGATGCGTGCTCGCAGCCGTCTCTCTAACGGGGCACCGAGCGAGGCGTCGGCCAGAGCGCTGGCTTCCCACATCCAAGTGGGGAGGCCGTCGCCAGCAAGCCCGGCGCCGATGGAGTCCGGCCGATCACCGGCCATCATGATTTTGCATCCTTCGCCCAACGCGGGATGCCGCCTGGCCGAGGCACCGCGCGGCCCCACAGCAAGGCGGGCTCCAGCTCGCGAAGGCAGTGCTCCCCGTACGCTAGCAATACCGCGCTGTGAGACTGCGTCTGCTGGCCCAGCCGCGCGCTCTTCTCGTGCCGCGCCATGTTCTTGAGCTGGCGCCAGCCCCCACGGCGTTGCACCTCGGCCTGGGATCTCTCTCCACTGGCTCGGTCGATGCTCGCCCCCGAGTGTCTCGCCTGGCACTGCGTGATCCGTCGCAGCTGAAGGCTGTCGCAGGTCTGGCGCACACTCCGCAGCAGCATCGGGTAGTCGAAGTCCCACACTGATCGCCGAGGGTCGAGCTCCTGCATGCTCTCGAGGAGCGGTCCCAGCCACAGCAGCCACCTTGAATCCAGCCCCACACTCAGGTCGAACTCTCCCGTCTTGTCGGGTGCTAGCCGCTCCTGCGGGTGCATCAGCAGGCCCCAGCGAGGACTGCCAGCACACGGCTTCACGATGTCCCCAGGGCGCAGTTTGAACAGGGAGGATGGCCTGAGATATGTCGACAACGCCAACGCCAGAAATACGGCCATCATACGCTGCCCCTGCAAAACCAAGCCATGCATGAGCGCACACCAGATAATCAGCGGCTCGGGCATGCGTGAACGGCCAGGTGTCAGCCGTTTCCAGCCCTTGAGCGCCTTCCACACGCGAGGCAGGGAGCTGGCTCCCAAGCGGCCATACTTCGGGTAGAAGTGGTTCACAGCCACCGCCACGTACATGCCCGTGGACGCTTGCTCGCCCATCAGGCACAAAGAAATGAAATAGTGGACCAGACAAGCATCGATCGTCTCTGTCGGCATCTCGAAGAAGTCCTGGCGGCCACAGCGGTCCTTCAGCTGCTCCAGCACTCGCTGGCATTGGGCCCTCACCCGCGGCGTCACCGCGCTGGCCTCGAGGTAGCGATCGATCGGCACCCCGTCGCCTATGGCCCGAGCTACGGCCGCATGGCGGCGCTTCACCCTGCTCGACAGCGTCCGCTGTCGCTTGGCGGCGTTGGCGCCCTCGGACTCGCTGGTAGTGCCGTTCGAGCTCGGCCCTGCTGACTGCGCCCGCTTTCCAGTGACGCGCCTCCGGGTGGCGGCACCCGTCGGCTCCGAAGCCTGCTCCAGCGCCGCTGCCTCCAAGACCGCTGCGGCCCCCGCGGTCCGCGCAGGCGGCGCCACTTCCCGTGTGGGTTGGCGTCCTTGTGAGGCTAGCTCTCGGGTCAGCCTTCGCCCCCCGCGGCTCCTTCGGGGCGGTGCTGCGGCTCGCCGGCATGCGGAAGGACGTCCTGCTTACTGGCTGGTGGAGCATACAAACAGACTGGAGCCAAAATGCCTTCGGACGGACGCAGGCCCGAAACATGATTGCGACTGTCAGACTCAAGCTCGCACTCATTCGCACTAAACTCTGGAACCGAAGACAGCGTCATACTAAAATCAGACTCACGTTATCCACGCCGACAGCTCGCAAGGGTATCAAAGCGTGCACAGACACGAGAGGGGGTCGCAAAATTTGCAAGGTCTGAAAATATCCCCAGCCCCTCCACCGCACACAGGAGGGGGAGAAGTAGCAGGCAGAGAGACGGGAATCAAACGCGTTAGAATATTTGAAGGCTCTCCGCCCTCAGCCCGAGACCCCTCATCGCTGTCGTTTAGCTCGCTAGGGGCCCATCGGACGATTGCCCTGAAGCTTCGGCTCAGGAGGTACGCCACGAACTTGTGAATATGTCTAAGAATCGCAAAGCTCTTGCACCTACTTCTATCAAACGCCAGAGCCACACCAAGATTGTCCACGCGCAAAATTTGCCTAGCGTTATATCCGAACCGTGTTGGAGCAACGCGTTTAAATGACTTCACGAGCGCTCGGGATTCTAGTGCACCCATGTGCTCACTGCATCTCCAAGTACCCCGTCCAACGCCACGCCAGAATTGATGGGCCATGAGCCTGGAGGGCACCTCTGTGAAACCGGGGTCCACCCTGTAGCCCCCCCGCACCGTGCCTTCGGTCGGCTGCTTATCCCCCTCGTCTACGCGGAGGACAACGCCCTCCTTCACCTGAAAAACGGCCGCAGAAGCGGCGATCTGATTTTTCTGTCGATTTGGCCCGACCTGGACACAACGCGATATCGCAGTTTGTCGTTCGCCACATCGCTAAAACTCCAACGCTGAATTGCGCGCATGGGTCCGCAATACACACCCTACCAGACCTCGCCATGATGCACCGCGATACGCTGCCTCATCCGCCCAGAAATGGTCGACGCCATCAGCGTCCGATTTTTACATCCGATTTTGCGTCCGATTTTGCGTCCGATTTGCGTCCGATTTTGCGTCCGATTTGCGTCCGGTTTTTGTCCGATTTTAAATCCGATTTGCGTCTGATTTGTTTTAGTATTGAATCGACACGCAAAAAATCGGACGCGAAATCGGAAGCGAAATCGGTCGCAAAATCGGTCGCTGCTGGGCGCACTTCCGGGCGCTCTTTCGGGCGCTCTTCCAGATTCGCGCCTGGGCCATATTCTGGGCACTCTTGATGGCGCTTTCCTGGGCGCTGTTCTCGGCGCTCTTCTTGGCTCGCCCGGGCGCTCGCCTCAGCGCGCTCCCAGGCGCTCTTCCGGGCGTTGTTTTGGTCGCCCCCAGCGCACCTTCTGGACACCAGGCGCGCGCCACATTTGCAATGTGAAAACCGAAAAACCAAAAAAATCAGAAGCAAATCTGCTCTGCCACCGCGGCGAGGTTACCCTCCTTCTCTTTCACCACGAAGCCCCCAAGACCCGCCGCGGTAAGAGCTGAGCGACGCGCCCCCACCCCTCCCTCCGTCTTGAACCGCCTCCTCTCACGACAACGGCCCACTACGGTCAAAGACTCGAGATCCCAGAAGCTCCCAGATATTCCGTATCCGCTCCCTGAAGCATCAGAACACTGCACCCACCGATTACAGGGCAACCACCAATCAGAAACGACCATGGGAAGCAGACCCCGGAATGCAAGCAGCTCCCCACGACAGCTACCCCAAAGAGGGGCTGCCTCTTTCTGCATTTTCGTGGCAAACCTTCAGCATGCATGAAATACCGCAAGCACGGGCCTGCGGACGAGCCCTATGTAGGCACACTGGCCCAACAGCACTCGCAGGTCATCTCCTCGCACCTCTCGAAGCTGCAGAAGGCCAGCGATCCCCTGCCTCACTCCCCAGAGCCTCTTCATCGAGGGCCGAGTCTGGTTGCCCTTGCCGTCAAGTACCACCCCCAATACCTCGACGCCGTCACTCTGGACCTCTCGTCCATGGACCTCGAGCCCTAACGCCTGGATCAGCTGGTCCAGACTGCGGCTGACGAGCTCTCCATTCTGGCCCATCACGCCCATGTTGTCCACGTAGACGCAGCGCCCCACCTGCCCGGCGCCACGCGCAAGGCGCAACTACAGCGGCTCACCGAGGTCGTTCAGAGGGGTGCCGTCCTTTAGACATGGTGCAAACTGACATTGGAGCTACGTCACGCTCTGGCAGAGGCACAGGCCCCACGTACAACCCATCGGCTGCGCCTCAGGAATTGGGTAGACCACATCGTCGTAGCTCAACACGCGGCCGTCCAGCACGGTACCCTGCAGACCAGCATCCCCTGCCTTCAGCGCGGGAAGACCGAGGAGCCGCTTCATCCAGGGCGGCAGCCGCATGCGGTGGAAGGCACCCTTCACGTCGGCAGCCCCGACCGAGAACCCCACGTCCTGCAGCATCGCCTGGTAGGCTGCCTGCAGGTGGTCGGACGCCCCCTCGACCTCGTCGAACCCGAAGGCTGACAGCCCTTCCGCGGTCAAGAGCTGAACGGACGGTGGGTCTATCAACCAAGCAATGCATCTGCGGCAATCTAGAATCATACGCGACGACGCCCCCCCCCCCCCCCCCCCCCCCCCCCCCCCTTCTTCCACACAAAGAAGACGCCTACCATCTCCAAGACCTGAAGCGTAAACGACACCAAGCCGCGCCCGGCAAGGTCCCTGGTAAAATCGCCATAACGTCGTCGGCTCCGCAACAACGATGGATCGCTGAAGGGGGCCCGTGGACATCGCTTCAATGCCTCAACCACTCCAGTATGGTCTCGCAACATACGCTCGCCCTGCCCTTCCACAAACTGGCGCGCTCGTCCCCGAAGTAGCTCGCGAAGCGCTGGGGCCTCGGCTATAGCGCCAGGGATCGACGGAAGCCCAGGACGGAAAGGGACAAGCACATCCTCAGGAGAGCCACCCAGGCACGGTGACCTCCCACGCATCAACTCTCGCAAGGCTGAATACGGTGACTGCATCTTGACGCCCCGCATCGGCTGCACGACGTTGTCCACCTGCCCTTCGATGCGCTGCATGGCGTCGAGCTGCATGGTAGAGGAGAGCTCCGTGGAGGACCCCACGTCAGCTCCCGCCAACAAACTGAGGCCCCGAGTGGCCTCTTGCACGAGTTGATCTCGAAGTTGTTGCCGACGCCGACGCCCTCGCTGGCGCCCAGTCGCAGCCGAGCCCGCTGGCACCTCCTTCTCAGGCAGAGGAAAGAGGTCGCGAGCTCCAGTCCCAGGCTCGAGCCCAGGTATCCCATCATGGATGAAACTGCTGGGTGGGCTAAGCCCAGCAGCCAAGCCGACCGTCGTCATTGGCCGCCCCCCGACGCGGCCGCGTCGAGGAGCTTATTGGTCTTGCCCTTCGGATTCGCAGAGTCGCCCTTGCCGTCGCCCTTCTCGGCCCTTGGCTTCTCAGCAGTCGTGAGCCCACGCACGCGGGCATTCAGGTATTCCGCGTCCTCCTTTGCCCGTCTTGTCCCGGAGCTGCGAAGCTCAGGAGCCATCACGTCGCTCGGTCCCGATTCTCCCGTCAAATACCGCGCCATGCGCCAGTTGGCTGGAGCGCCTGGCACCGAGCGTGCATCCGTGATCACCTGGACTCGGCGTGCCAGGCGCTCCATACACCGCAGGGCGCCCAGGTTCAGCTGGTCGCACGTCCCCGCCGGCAGCAGCGCGTGGCAGAGAACCTCCAGTTCATGGTAGATGCGGTCCTGGCGCTCCACACGGTGCTCCCGAGTCCACTCCGCCATCCATCTCATGGGGTCTCCGCCGTTCCTGAACATCGCCTTTGCCAAGAACACCACCGACACGGGCCCTTCGATCGGGTCATCAGCATACGACTCAGCCGGAATCTCGTTCACGACGGTACGCCAGTCTTTGTGCCGTTCTCCTTGACCATCAAAGTCCACGCTCAGGGTACGAATATCGGCAGCGGCCTTCGCCGCCACCTGGGTCTCATGGGCGGGGGGCCCACTTGCAGCATCCGCACCTCCGAGGCCCAGGCGATCCTTCACGGCATCTTCGATCGCGGCATCCCCAGGCGAGGTGCGTGTCCCCAACACATTATGCAGACGACTGAGTTGCTCTCCCGCACGTTGGGGTGCCAGGCCGATCGGCAGCCTCATCACCCTGCAGACCTCATCACCGAAGTACTTCAGGCCGTGATTCCCCGCGATGGTGTCTCCGACTTGCATCTTGACCTCTTCCCCGATCGCGTGACCTCCCCCTGGCTCCATCAGCATCCATATTAGGTCGGTTCCTGTCTCTCCTACTAGCAATAGCCCCGCATCGTCCGTGTCGCCCCGCATCGCAGAGACCAGCTCGCCTCGGCGGCCCTCGCTATTCAGAGTGAAGCGCGGCCAGTCTGCTTCCACCTGACCTCGCGCTGCCTCTATATCACGGCACCCGCGGCTGTAGGCGAGGATCCCCTCGAGCGAGGGCAGCTCTGAGAACTTGTACAGCCTCCTGCCCCCGCGAGGCGGGTAGCCCACCTCAGGCAGTGGCCGTGAACCGTTTGGCCCATGCTCGGGGTCACCTCCATCTAGCTGCTCCTGCCAGAGGTCACCGTCGGGCGAAAGGACCCACCACATACTTTCGTCAACCGAGTTGCCGGAGGCGTCGGTCCGTCGTGATGGCCAGATCAGCACTCTCTCGTGATCCACCACGTCGTCGCTGTAGCTCACGCGAGCCCTCGACCCCACGGGGGCTCTATTCCAGTAACCCTGCTCCCCCGCGCCGAGGCGCAACGGCGCGCCCCCTCCCGCCATCAGTATCGTCTCGAGACGCGGCGCGGCGGCGCTCTGCACGCCAGCCCCAGGCCGCGCCGCCCACCAGCTGGCCCAGCAGCCACCAGGGCGGCCCTGCACTCACAGCAGGCCCGCGTGGCTCCTCGGGCGCTGGGCACACGGGCGCCTCCACCACAGGGCAACTCGGCGGCTCCCAGAGTGGCTCCTCCAGTTCCTCCGAGGCCCGTGGAGGTGGGGGAGGTGGCGGACCCGCCGCCGCAGCGCGGTCCAGCTCCTCCAGCGCCGGCCAGGGAGCGCGGTCCACGCTATCAAGCCCGAGGTGGGCCAGCTGTAGCCAGAGAACCAGCTTCAGAGGCAGGTTCGGAGGGGCGTGAACCATGCCTCCTCGAACCAAGTCGGCTTCGGAGACGCAGCTGCAAGAAGGGCGAGCACGCGGGGGCTGGCAACTGCTGCTGCTACTCTAAGACACGACATCCCACTCCTCTCCAAACATGTCCGTGCACGCACCCCCATCATCATCATCATCATCATCATCATCATCATCATCATCATCATCATCATCATCATCATCATCATCATCAGCAGCAGCAGCAGCAGCAGCAGCATCATCATCATCATGATCATCAGCATCATCATCATCAGCAGCAGCATCATCATCATCAGCATCATCATCATCATCATCAGCATCATCATCATCATCAGCATCATCATCAGTATCGGCATCATCAGCAGCAGCAGCATCAGCATGAGCATCAGCATCAACATCATCAGCAGCATCATCAGCAGCATCATGACCATCATCATCAGCAGCAGCATCAGCATCAGCAGCAGCATCATCATCATCATCATCGTCATCATCATCATCATCATCAGCATCATCATCATCTTAATCAGCATCGTAATCATCAGTAGCAGCAGCATCAGCATCATCATAATCATCATCATCAGCATCATCAGCATCATCATCAGCAGCATCACCATCATGATCATCAGCATCATCATCAACGTCATCAGCATGATCAGCATCAGCATAACCAGCATCATCATCAGCAGCATCATCATGATCATCAGCATCATCAGCAGTAGCAGCAGCAGCAGCATCCTCATCCTCCCCCTCATCCTCGTCCTCATCCTCCTCCTCCTCATCATCAGCAGGATCGTCATAATCAGCATCCTCGTCATCATCAACATCAGCGTCGTCGTGATCATCATCACTTTGATCAGTATCATCAGCATCAGCATCATCAACATCAGCATCATCATCAGCATCATCATCATCGGCAGCAGCAGCATCATCGTCATCATCAGCAGCATCACCAGCAGCAGCATGATTATCATCATGAGCCAGACTGTAATAATCGTGTGTGGTTATCAGCTCATGTCAAAGCGAAGTTACCATCATAATGACAACAATCGTCACTGTCATCATCGACGACTGCACCACCTAGCATCATCAACAGCGGCAGCCGCAGCAGCTTCATCGGCATCGTCTTCATCGTAGTCATCATCAGCAGCAGCATCGCCAGCAACATCATGATCATCGAAAGCATCAGCAGCAGCATCATCAGCATCAGCATCATCATCATCATCATCATCATCATCATCGGCAGCAGCAGTAGCATCATCGTCATCATCATCAGCATCAGCAGCAGCAGCATCAGCATCATGGGCATCATCATCAGCAGCAGCAGCATCAGCAGCATCATCAGCATCATCATTATCATCATCATCATCATCATCACCAGCATCATCATAAGCATCATCATCATCCTCATCATCATCATCAGCATCATCATCATCATCATCATCATCATCATCATCATCCTCTCAATCATCAGCAGCAACAAAAGCGTCCTCGCCGTCGTTTCCGTCGTCATCGACACCATCATCGTCATCAGCAACAGCACCATATCATCAATATGATCCTGTCTCCCGTCGTCGTGATCAGCCGAACCATCGTAATGATAATCGTCATCATCGTCATCATCATAACCATCATCAGCAGCAATATTGTCATCTTCATTGTCATCATCATCACCACCACCACCACCATCGTCATCATCAGCATCATCAGCATCATCATTATCGTCATGAGCAACAGCAGCGTCAACATTAGCTTCAGCATCACCAGCATCAGCATCAACATCCTCATCATCAGCATCATCATCAGCATCATCAGCATCACCATCATCATCAGCATTAGCATCATCCTCATCCTCATCCTGATCATCATCACAATCGTAATCATCAACATAATCATCACCAGCATCATCATCTGCATCATCAGCATCAGCATCATCATCAGCATCAGCAGTATCAACATCATCGTCTTCATCATCGTCGTAATCGCCGTCACCAGGGAAGACATTACAATCAATATCGTAATCATTGTTCTCCTCATCATGTTCCTCCTCACTCGTGGCTCCTTCCTCCTGTATCCGCCCCCTCAAGATCCTTGGCGAGACCAAAGTCAACCACTGTTACTCTCCCCAATTAACAAAAATGGTTTCTGGCAGTGGAGGCAGGGAACGAAGAGGAGAGGGGGGGCAGCGGCAGCAGTGGAGGCGAAGGCGGAGAAGACGATCTTGTTTTCGGCTGAGGAATCAAAGCAAAAGTCGAAGGGCGTTGGGGCAGACGTCCCGCAACTCAAGCGCAGGTGTTAACTTGTGCGTTGCCTGAGCAGTCCTCTTGCGACAACTGCCTGATGAAGGTAACCATGAAGTGCAAGTCATGCTCAAAAGGGTGACGTTGCCCCGGTCGAAGGCTCACCCAGCTGTGTCATGTGCTACTGGAAACGAACGCTATGGCACTGGCTCGAAGTCCGAACCTCCCTCACCTCCCAGATCGTGTGGGCTAACAGCAGAGGCCCGGGAATACTGTCGAGCTCCCGAAAACGAAAACGCACAACAAAATCAACATTTGCAACTGCATGCTGGCAGGAGGTTCCAGCGCGGCCGAGGGCATCAAGCCCTTCAGTGCTTCACGGGCGTGAAGGGAAATGAGTTGGGAGCGGGGGGCAGGGGGATTGGGAAGGAGGAAGGGAGGAGAAGGGAGGAGACAATTTGCGACGAGCAGGAAGCAAGAGAGGAACAAGGGAGACGGGGGACAAAATCACAACTGGAGGAATCGAAAGTCATAACCTCCTGTGCCATCTCGCGGGTCTCGTGGGGCCCCGAAGACTGCCCTGGAGAGCCCCTACGAGGGCCCTCTCAGGGCCGCAAGAGGCCTCCGAGAGGGTCCCAAATTATCCCCTGCTCCAAAAACGCCTGACGGAGTTGGAAGCAACAACTTCTAGTGCCCTATTCGGGGCCGCTCGAAGCACCCAAAATGGCTCTGGAGGGCCCCAGGGGAATCCCGTGGGGGTCCCAAGAAGGTTCCACGAGAGGACTGGGGCCCAGTGAGCCCATGATCCAACTCCGCCTGGCGGAGTTGGAAGCGATAATTTCCAGCGTCCTTTTGGTTTGGAGGCCCTGGGGTCCCCTACGTCTCGAAACTCTGCTGGAGCTCTCTTGAGCTATCTTGGCGCCCTCTGGGGATGTCGATCGGCTCTCTTCGACGGGGTGCGAGCCACATCTCCAAAGAACACCCCGAGGACAGTCCTGCCTGCCCTACCCTTCCCCATGGATACGAGCACACCACCATGCAGCCACCGTGATGAGAAATGGGCTGGCAGAGTGAGCGAAGCAACAAAGCATCATTGCAGATACCAGACCAAAATGCCTACCGAAACATATCTACACCGCGCCACGCAAACCGATTCCCCCAGCCAGACTTATTCCCTCCCCCCCTTCCCAAAATATCCGTGCAGGGCCGCGCAAACATGTTCCCCCAGCCAGGGAAATGTCATGATACCATTTCAACGAACCACACAACATAATGCCCAGCACAACATATCCATACCGCGTCACGCAAACATGTTTCCAAAGCCTAAGGAAGAATGAGGAAATTCGAAGCGGAGAAGTGAGCAAAAATGGCGGATGACACATGGGATAGAGGAGGACACGGAGGAAGAGGAAACGGTAGATAACGGGGCGGACCCTCTTATACGAAGTGTCTCTTCAGTTTTTTCCCAACAGGAAGGGGGGGATACAATCATAACAACGGGGCGTCCCCTGGTATACTCAGTTTCCCCTGTGTATTGCATGCTGCGCTGGCGCAAATAGGGAAGCTAATGCAGCTCAGGGTAAGCTTAGTAAAAGTATGAGAAACTGTGTGTAACTAAAGGAGCTGGATGCAAATGAAAGAAACTGGGCACAAATGAGGGACACTGAATGACACAAAACCCGAGTGCAACTTAAGAAAACGGAATGTAAAAGGAAAAACTGAATGTAACTGAAGAAACTGAAAAGAAAGGGAAAACTGAATGCAACTAAAGGCAACCGAGTGCAACTCGAGGGAAGCTGAACGCAAGTGACGGAAACTGAGTGCAACTGAAGATACTTATGGGTAGGGAACCAGCGCCGTCCGACGCCGCGAGCGGCCACAATAGCAAAAGCTGCATGGATAGAGGGCGGGTCGGTTTCCAAATGTGGTTCCCGCCGTAGCGCCGCGCACATTCGTTGCAAAAGCTCGGAACAGCTTCGCGGATGGAAGGCGATTCCGTTCCGGAATGTGGCTCTCGTCTGGGTGCCGCCCACGCTCGCGCCAACGTGTACAACAGCCTCAAGGATTCGCACCGTCGAAGTCCCAGGACTGGCCTTCTGGCACGATTTGTGATGGTCAGGGACGTAGTGAGCACGTTGATTCGCGGTGCTGGAATCCCAGCACTGGCCTTCTGGCACGATTTACAACTGTCTGGAAGCAAAAGTCACGCTGATCCGCGGCGTTGAAGTCGCAGGAACTGCGATTGAGGAGTCTCAAACGATTGTCGTCGAATTGGCCACATCCCGCAAGGAAAACATGTTTGATGTACCTTTGAATTGGGAGCTTGGAGGAAGCGTTTATTGCAACATCGTTGATACATCTTGGGTTTACACTGGCCCGCCTCCTCCTCGGTCTATCCTCCTCCTCCTCCTCCTCCTCCTCGTCGTCCTCCTCCGTCTATTCTCCTCCTCCTCCTCCTCATCCTCCATCCTCTTCCTCCTCCTCCTCCTCCTCCTCCTCCTCCTCCTCATCATCATCATCTTCATCCTCCTCCTCCTCCGTGTAATGAGTCCGCCGATCTCTGGTCAAGGAAGGTGAGCGGTGCAGGTGCGCGCCTTGTGAGGGCTGAGCGCGATCCGCCCAGTGACGCCCTGGAAGTCCGTGGCGCCGAACAGCTCCTCGACAAGCCGATGCAGGCAGACCCAGACCCCCAGCGTCATGGGAAACGGATAAGTGTGCTTTATGGCTTTAGGCCCCCAGAGGCCTTCCCTGGGACACGGGAACCACACAAAAAAAACAGCCGAGAAAGGTCGGCAAACGAAAACGCGCATTCCTCAGTGTTCCCAAGGTGTCCTAGAAACGCTGACAAGCGGGACAGGGGTGCGAGCACGGCCATGTGCACCGTCGGGTGCTTTTCCCAACCATCCTGTGGTGCTGGGTCCTCGGTTTGAAAAAAGCGCCCCGCGTGCCTTCCCCTCCTCCTCATCCCCCTCCTCCCCCTCCCTCCTCTCATCCCCGCCTCTGCTCTCCGCATACCCACCATGTCGGCACACCCCTCACACGTTTCGGGTCCCCATAGGGAGCTCCACCGAAGGCCCCCGTGCCACCGCCCGCATGCGCCACCGCCACCCATTACGGCACACCTCATCACACGGTTCGTGGCCTCACAGGGAGCTCAACCGAACGCCCCAATGTCACCGCCCGCATGCGCCACCGCCACCCATTACGGCACACCCCATCATACGGCTCGTGGCCCCATAGGGAGCTCAACCGAAGGCCTCATTGCTACCGCCCGCATGCGCCACCGACACCCATTACGGTACACACGCTTCGTGGCCCCACAGGGAGCTCCACCGAACGCCCCAATGCCACCGCCCGCATGCGCCACCGCGACCTATTTCGGCACACCTCGCACACGTTTCGTGGTCCCATAAAGAGCTCCACCGAAGGCCTCAGTGCCACCGCCCGCATGCGCCACCGCCACTCATTTCGACACACCCCTCACACGGTCCGTAGCCCCGACTTGGGTGGCGGGGACGCATGTGGGCGGTGGCCTCAGTGCCACCGCCCACATGCGTCCCCGCCACTCAAGTCGGCACACCCATCACACGGTTCGTGGCCCCTTAGGGAGCTTCACCGAAGGAATCAGAACCATCAACTGCAGGAGCCACCGCCATCCATTTCGGCACACCCCTCACACGGTTCGTGGCCCCATAGGGAGCTCCACCAAAGGCCTCAGTGCCACCGCCCGCATGCGTCACCGCCACCCAAGTCGGCACACCCCTCACACGCTTCGTGACCCCATAGGGAGCTCCACCGAAGGCCCCAGTGCCACCGCTCGCATGCGTCCGCGCCACCCATTTCTGTGCACCCCTCACATGTTTCGTGGCCTCATAGGGAGCTCCACCGAAGGCCCCAGTGACGCCGCCCACATGCGTCCGCGCCACCCATGTCGGCACACCTATCACACGTTTCGTGGCCCCAGTGGGTGTGCTCGCATGCGTCGGCCTCACCCAGCACAGCGCTTCGTGGCCTCAACTCCCCACGGCCTGCGGGCGGGCGGCCTTGGACGTGACTGGGATCCAACGCTGTCGCGACGAAGGAAAACCCGCGATGGGAAGAGGAGGACCCCCCCCTCGCCACTGCGAGCACCGACCACGGCTCTGGAGCGCTCCCGGCCTGCGGGCGGGTCCCCATGAGGAGCTCCGCCGAAGGCTTTAATGGCGGTGTCCACATGCGTCCGCGCCACCCACTTCGGCGCACCCCTCACACGTTCCGTGGCCCCATAGGGAGCTCCACCGAAGGCCCCAATAGCGGTGTCCATCATGCGTCCGCGCCACCCATTACGGCGCACCCCTCACACGTTTCGTAGCCCCATAGGGAGCTCCACCGAAGGCCACAATGGCGGTGTTCACATGCGTCCGCGCCACCCATTACGGCACACCCCTCACACGAGTCGTGGCCCCATGAGGAGCTCGGCTGAAGGCCCCAGTGGCGGTGTCCACATGCGTCCGCGCCACCCATTACGGCACACCCCTCACACGTGTCGTGGCTCCATAAGGAGCTCCGCCGAAGGCTCCAGTGGCGCTGTCCACATGCGTCCGTGCCACCCATTTCTGTGCACGCATCACAAGTTTCGGCAGCGTAGGGAGCTCCACCGAGTTCCCCCCACCCAGTACAATGCCTCGTGTTCCCATAGGAGCTCCGCCCAAGGCCAAAGTGGCGGTTTTCGCACGCGTTTCCCCCACCCAGTACAGCGTTCCGTGGCCCTAGAGGAAGCTCCGCCGAAGGCCCCAGTGGCGGTGTTCGCATGCGTTTCTCCTAGCCAGCATAGCGCTTCGTGGCCCCATAGGGAGCTCCCCCGAAGGCCCCAGTAGCGGTGTTTGCAAGCGTTGACCCCATTCAGTACAGCGTTTCGTGGCCACACAGAATGCTCCACCTGAGGCTCCAGTGGCGCTGTCCGCATGCCTTTCCCCCATCCAGCAAATCACTTCGTGGCCCCAAATGGAGCTCCGCCGAAAGCCCCAATGCCGGCCCCGCGCCATTGCGGCGCACCCCATCATACGGGTCCTGGCCCCGGAGTGGATTCCGCCTTAATCCCCAGCGGCAGCGCCCACATGGCGGCCCCGCCCCATATCAGCACACCCTTCGCATGCTTCATCGCCCATGAGAAGATCCCCCGCAGGCGATACCCGCAACGACGGCATTCACAACTGCATATGCTTGGCTCCTTCGGTGGGATAATTATAATCGGGATCGTGGCCGCCTGGACCGAACATGAAGCGGGAATTGGGGCGAGAGCACGGCTCCTGAACACAATGCAAGGAAGTCCCAAGCGAAACGACTGCCGGACCAGGCGGTCTAGGGCTCCCCCTCCCCCCTGTAAGACTCTTTTGCTGTCCTTGTCTACATGTATTCGATCCCTCCAGAAACACTCCAGAAACCCCGTCAGGGAACACGCACGTCGCGAAAATCTGTATATAGAGGATGGGGCGTGGAGGGAGAGCGGGAGCAAGGGAGCAAAGAGGGCAGGGCGGAGGAATCTGTAGGAGGGAACAGTTTGGAAGCTTGCACTTAACCGGAGGGAGGAGCAGGAGGAAAAGGAGGAGGAGGAGGGGGAGGAGGAGGAGGAGGAGGAGGAGGAGGAGGAGGAAGAGGAGGGTGAGGAGGAGGAGGAGGAGGAGGAGGAGGAGGAGAAGGAGGAGGAGGGGCGGCCGTGCCCCCGTGCGGCCCTCCGAGGCGGTGGTTACCACGCGGCTGCACTGCGGGAGTCAGCCAACAGAGCATGCGCCGACGACGCGCCCACAGCGCTCGGCGACGCAGTGGCCCAAGCCTAGGAGGACGGCCATAGCCGGAAGGCAAGCGTTCACAAGAAAGGCCTCGTACAAACCGAGGGGAACAGGAGTCGGGGAATCGGCGAAGGAGGGCGGGAATCAGAAGGGAGGCGGGATCGGCACGGCTCTCGTCCCCTCACAATCTGGGACGGATCGCCAGACAGGAGTCGCAAAGGTTCCCGCATCTTCGGCCGTCGGTATGTTCCTTCTACTACTGTTCCTCCTTCTCCTCCTCCTCCTCATCCTCCTCTTCCACATCTCGACAAGCGGATGCTCAACCGAAAAACAAGATATCACGCACAAGCAGCACCTCATGCAAACTGTCCGAACAGTTTCTGCGAAGTCAGGAGCTCTGCACGAGATGTCCTGAATCATACCGTACGCCTCTTCCGTTCGCTTCTGGACGCTCTCGAGGGTATAGTTGTGCACGTAAAGGATCTGGTGCAGCATCTGCGCATACATGCAGACCTCGCCACTTCCAAGCTCCACACCAACCAACCCCATTTAGAAGAACCAATACCAGCTCCAAAACTTTGCTCTGCACTGTCGTTAACCAGGTGGTGTACCAACACCCATGCTCTCCTTTGCTATTATGATTGCTGCCTTCTCTTCGCCATTCACTTGCGCAGATGCTGATTTCTGCACCGGCCTGCATCATCGCAGACTCTGAAGCAGCAAGACATGGAAGACACAAAGAAACTGGAAACGAGAGCGGAACTTGGGCAGCCTGGGAATTATTGTGGCCATCATGATCACCGCCACCGCGGCGGCCGCCGCGACCATTTTGAACCAGACGACACAGAAACAGCGAGGGAAGGCTTCAACCTCCAAGCCAAAATAGATGGCTTTCACATCGGAGATCGATGCCAATTCCTGACAGCCCGCCTGCTGTGAAATACTGTTCCTCTTGCTCCTCCTCCTCCTCGTGCTCCTCCTCTTCCCCCTTCACATCCGCCTCCTCCTTCGCCGATCTACTACTACTACTACTACTACTACTACTACTACTACTACTACTACTACTACTACTACTACTACTACTACTACTACTACTACTACTACTACTACTACTACGGCTACTACTACTCCTACTCCTACTCCTCCTACTACTACTACTACTACTACTACTACTACTACTACTACTACTACTACTACTACTACTACTACTACTACTACTACTACTACTACTACTACTACTACTACTACTACTACTACTACTACTACTACTACTACTTACTACTACTACTACTACTACTACTACTACTACTACTACTACTACTACTACTACTACTACTACTACTACTACTACTATTATACAATTGGGTCCGAAACGCACTGACAGTTCCCGGGGTTCCACGAACCAATCGGCAGTGCCACAAAACTACTGGGAGGCATCCGCATGCAGGCGTAGTGTCGCACTGCATTTGGATGACCTCCCTCCCTACCAGGTTCATGCGGGCGTAGAAGCGCACCGCATTCCCCTGAGAGGCGCAAGCACGCACGCATGTACAGTACTTGCTTCGCGCTGCTGCTGGCGACCCGGCTGCCAGTGACCTGCTTGAGGTCGCCGGAGGCCGTCGGAGGTCACCGGCCAGAGTTCCGTGGCCAACAAACATCGGTGCCCTTTTGGCGGCCGCTTGGGGCCGGAAAAAGGCACCTGCTAAAAGTTACCACATGGGGCTACGGGCCTGGGCCCAAAGCTCAACGTCGTGCTTTGCAATGCTACCCGCACCGCACCACACGAAACGGAGTTTAAACTGTTAAGTTCATTTTCGGACCCTCGCCCAGATGTTCCTAAAATCGCGGATAGGCCGGTACACCCAAAATTGAACAATTCCTGTCCCCTTAGCAGGGCTTGTGCCACCGCTGCGAGGCCCAAGCCCGCGCGACCAACACAGTCACCAAAGGCCTTGGGTGACTGTTTTGGGTGGGCCCCAAAAGCAATGAAAATGCGCTAGAAGAGCGACCCCAATCAGCGCGCGACCCCAATCAGTGCAGCATGGGGGGAGAGAGGAGGAAGAGGGAGGAGGGGGAGGGGCCAGGGAGAAGGGAAGAAGAGGAGAGAGGCCCGAAGCGGTGGGAACACAGGGCCTGGCACAAGCCGCTGCGGCGCTTAGGCCTCGCCGAGGCGGCGCCCTCGGCTAACCCGAGGGCGCGGCCGCGGACGCCGACCCCGCGGGTGACGGGTCGACGCTGCCAGGGTGCTCGCGCCTGAATTCCACGTCTGGGTCGTGATAGGCATCGTCCTCATCAGCGACCTCCTGGGCGTGGCTGGGCAGGCAGCGCCGGATCATTCGCGCCGCCCGCCTCCAGATTTCTGCTTGGCCTGCGGATGCGGGCGCCCAGAACAACTGAACGTGATGGGTCGGTAGTCGACGCCTGCCGCGCCCAGCTCGTGCGCATATGGCGCGAGCCGATCGACCTTGCGACATCGCATCGCCTCGCAACAATCCGTGCCGGCGCCGCGTGCCGCAGGGGCCGCAATCCCCACGTCCAGAGCCGCAAGGCGCGCTGTGAGACCAGAAGCGCCTGTGAGAACATCTGCAGGGCGTAGCCCTGGACGTGAGGAAACGAGGCCCGTGGGCTCACGCTCCGTCGTGGAATCGAGGCTGCTCGCGATGTCGTAGAGCTCGTCGCGGACAGCATTGTGGCCGCGCGCACTGGGCCCGCATGCGCATAAGAGCCCATGGGTGCCGACTGGCCCAATCACCCCGTCGCCGCAGTTGCCGCACGGAGCGAAGTCGTCTGGACCCGCTGCTCCAAGCCGCAACCGCACGGCCGTGACGAAGTCGTCCTTTGAGAGCGTCTTCCCCTTGTTCGGGCCCACGGCCCACAACCACTCATGCGAGCCGTCTGGATGGGAAAGCTCGCTGGGCAGCTGCTCGCGCTCCCAGTCGCCGGCCTCGCGCATCTTCGCCAGGAGGCCGTGCGCGACAGTGGCATCTGCAAAACGTACGAGCTCGCTCTGCAACCGCGGCCCGCCCTTGGGCGCTGGGGAAGCGGGGTGCTCGGGGTCCTCGGTGCCGGCGTCTGGCACGAGGCCCGCGGCTGGGCGCCTGCTGCCCCGCTGCCGGGCTGGGCCTTCCGCCCCCTCGTTGGCCTCTCCATCGCCCTCCTCGCCTGAACACCAATCCCGCCACCTCCTCTCCGCGGATTCGGCTGCCCTCTCGACGGCGTCGTGGACCTGGTCCCGCGCGCCCTGGGGGAGGGAGTCGAGCCATCTCCGAAGTGCTGCTCTGGTCCGCTGGTCGTAGCGGTGCAAGAGCGACACTCGTGACCCGATGCCAGCGTTCTCGACGTGCTGGAACATCTCGTTCACGAGCGGTCGCGACGATACCCGGCTCGCAATGAAGGCTGGGAGAGCTATCACGGCAGACTCCCGCATGCCAATCCCGCCTGCATCAACGGCCAACGTGGCTTGGATCCACCCTACGTCCGGAAGACGACCGGCCAGCGAGGTCTCGACCCCAACCCGGAGCGAGTCATCGAATCGATGCAACTCGCATTCTGGAATCCGATCGCCGATGCACCGCAAGATGTAGGAGCACTGGCTGACGTCCAAGCAGCGGCGCTGCAGCGTGAGCTCGCACTGCGGGTGGTCCAATTCCATGATCGACGCCCGGGCGGCCTCGACTTTGAGGACGGCCGCGCGAAAGTCCGAAACTGCCTGATCGGCGTTCCCCACGTGCACCCCTAGGACCTTCGGCGCGGTGGCCGCCTCCTCCACGCGGCACGTGTCAGAGATGTACCCGTTGGCCCACCCCTGGAACTCGGTCATCCGCGCTTCGGGGCACAGGAGCCGGGCAACGCTTTTGCAGGCTGCGCCGGTGCTGCGGCGCCCTCCGAAGGCTGCCAGGGCAGCGTCGACAGACCGAAGCCAAGCACTGGCCAGTACTACTACTACTACTACTACTACTACTACTACTACTACTACTACTACTACTACTACTACTACTACTACTACTACTACTACTACTACTACTACTACTACTACTACTACTACTACTACTACTACTACTACTACTACTACTACTACTACTACTACTACTACTACTACTACTACAACTACTACTACGACGAGCACGACGCGACGACGACGACGGACGACGACGACGACGACGACGACTACTACTACTACTATACACTACACTACTACTACTACTACTACTACACTACTACTACTACTACTACTACTACTACTACTACTACTACTACTACTAGTACTCCCACCACTACTACTACTACTACTACTACTACTACTACTACTACTACTTCGACGACGACGACTACTACTACTACTACTACTTCTACTACTACTACTACTACTACTACTACTACTACTACTACTACTACTACTACTCATACTACTGCTGGTACGAGTACCACTACTACTACTACTACTACTACTACTACGACGACGACGACGACGACTACTACTACTACTACTACTAATACCACTACTACTACTACTACTTGAGGAGCGGCATGGGCGCACAGGCGGCGGAGTGCGGGCCGGCGACGACGGCCCCGGTGGCGACGGCTGCTTGCCCCGCGCTGCCGCGTGGCTCAAGAGGAGAAAGGCCCCCCTCCTCCCTCTCCTCGGAGGCGCGGGGGAGGCGCGGGGGGCCCGCCCGGGGTCCGAGGGCCCGCGAGGGCCCATAGGGCCCGAGGGCGGCACCAGGAGGCCGCTCTCGAGGCCCTGAGGGGCCGAGGCTCCAGGTGAGCCTCACGTGGGGGCTGCTCCGGGAAGTCTTCCCGAGCGGGCCCGGGCCCGGGCGATGGCGTCGCCAGCGCGGGCGCCGCGCGCGGAGCTGGGCGACGCCGACTCGGGCGACGCCGAGGCGGGCGCGGAGGCTGGCGCGCCGTCGGCGCAGGCGGCCGCGGCCCCAGCGGCGGCAGCCGGCGCCGGCGCCGGCGCTGGCGTGGAGGTCGCCGGCTTCGAGGGCTCGCTGCTGGAGGCGATCGCCGACGGTGCCGTGGCGCAGCCGCCGCTGCTGGCCTTCGGCGCCTGGGTGCAGTGGCGCGCCGGCCCAGGTCGCCGGCCTCGCACTGCGCCCGCGATCGCGGCCAGCGAGAGCGCGCTGTGGCGGAGCACCATGGAGGCGCTGCACGGCCAGGACTGGCAGGCGCGGCTGCGCCGGCAGGGCCCCGCCGCGGCGCGCAGCCCTGCGACGCCAGCGGCGGCGCAGCCGCCGGCGGCCGACGACGTCCTGCGGCTGCTGGACTCGCCAGCGCGCGCGTCCGACGCGGGCTCCGACGCCACTGGAGCCCTGTCGGACGGCAGCTGGGGGCCGCTCACGGACGACGAGGTCCTGGAGCGGCTGCTCAAGGACGTGGAGCCGCACGAGTCGATGCGCGACTTCGAGCGGCGCCTGCTGCGCGCGCGGGCCGTGCTGACGCTGCGGCGGCAGGCGGTGCCGGAGGGCGCGGTCGAGTTCGGCATGAGGAAGGCCCGCTTCCTGGTGGAGGCGCGGGCCCACGGCGAGGGCGTGGCGGCCGCGCTGGAGGCCAAGCTGCACGCCGTCCTGGACATCGAGACGGACGACGCCGACGAGGACGCGCGGGCGCTGATGGACCTCCTCGCGGTGGCGCGCGGCGGCGGCAGCGCTCGCGACGCCGTGGCCGGCGGGGCGCTGGCGCGGCCCCCGCGGGGCCGAGCCCCGCCCGCCGGGCCCACCGGCGTCGGCGCGGCCCCCGCGGGGCCACCCGCCTTCCCCGCCTTCGGCGAGGACCTGCCGCCGGGGCTTCCCCCGCGGGGCGGGCCGACCGAGGCGGGCCCGGCGGAGCCCAGCTTGGCGGCAGCGCTGCAGGGCCTCGCGGGGGCGCTCGGCCGGCGGGCCGACAAGAAGTCGTCCACGATCCAGGTGAAGCCGCACTACAGTCTGCCGACGCTCGGCGACGGCGACTTCGACGTGGACTCGTTCGTGGAGGAGTTCGAGGAGATGGTCGGGCTGGCCAACGACGGTGCAGGGATGTCGGCGACGGAGATGGTGCGTGTGCTGGGGACCTGCCTGAAAGGCTCGCGTCAGCGGGCTTACAAGGTCGAGCTGAAGCAGGCTCGCCGGTCAGGCAGGCTGGCGGCGGATCCCGACGAGGTGTACCAGAGCCTGAAGGAGCGGCTGATGGAGTTCAAGGAGGGCTTGCTGGAGAAGCAGCAGCGGCTCAACGCCGAGTGGAGGACGCTCTCCCGCGGCAAGATGAGCGCGCTGGAGTTTCAGGCGACGTTCGAGAGCATCGTGGCGGAGATGGAGCTGGCTGGGATGGGCAAGTCCGATCGCGACCTGCTGCTCAGCTACCTGGCGCTCATCCCTCCCTCGCACCGTGCAGAGGTGCTCAAGGATCGCCGAGTGTATCAGCGCTCTGGCGCCCAGCCCGAGGTCCGCGGCGTCGAGACCTGGAGGGAGGCCCATCGCGTGCTGCTGAAGCTGGAGGAGGCCGAGAGCTCGGCCAAGGCGCTCGTCGCGGCGGTGGGCTCGGACTTCGCGCCCAGCCCGGGCGGCGGCGGTGGCCGGCGTCGGCGCGGTGGCGGTGGCGGCGATCAGGAGCCGCCCGAGGTCGGCGCTGTTGGCAGCTCCGGCGGCGCCGGCGCTGAGGGTGCGGTGAAGGTCTGCTTCCAGATGAGGGACAGCGGCACGTGTGCGCGTGGCGACGCCTGCAGGTTCTCGCACGACCGGGCGGCCATCGCCGAGTCGCGGAGGACCAAGAAGGACGCGACCGGGCCGAAGGGCAAGGGCGCGGACGGCAAGAAGGGCAAGGGCTCGGACGACGGCGGCAAGGGCGGCCTCAAGTCGCAGCTCTGCCTGCAGTTCCTCCGGGGCGCGTGCAGCAAGAGCGAGAAGGACTGCAAGTTCAGCCACTCGGGTAAGGCAGCTCAGAAGGTCATTGCAGCGGTCTATGCTGGCGCGGCCGCAGCTAAGGCGCCGCCGCCAAGCCTCGGCAGCGCGGGCTCCCCCGGCAGCGGCCAGGGAGCAGCGCCTGCGGCCGAGGAGGCGGCGCGGCCCGCAGCCTCTGGCGCGGCGCCGAAGGTGCAAGCTGCGGCGGGGGGCAAGCTCGAATGGGTGCGACCCTGTGGCGGCGTCTTCGGCCCGAGCTACGACCTCCCGCAGGTGAACGTCGTCAGGGGCTCGCCTTCGCCCGAAGGAGCTCTGAAGGACCTGGACCAGATCCCCGCCAGCGCCTGGACGCAGGTGCAGGAGCCCGACGACGGGTACCACTACTTGTGCCACACGCATGTCTACGGCCTCAGCATCAGGACGCTCCTTGATGGCGGGGCTGTGTTCTCCCTGACGTGGGAGGCGACGATCGTCAGCATCATCAACAGCGCGATCGCGGAGGGCAAGTCTCCTGAGGACCCCGACTGGCCGATCGCGGGCCTGATGCACTGGGGCCGGGACTCGAAGGCCTCGTCGGTGGCGGACAAGGGCGGCCTGAAGATTCGTGGCATGGTGGACCTGCGCCTGGCCTTCGAGGGGCTGGATGGTACGCGAGTGGTGCGTGTGTTCCGCCTTCGGCTTCTGCGCGGGGGTTGGGACAGGCCGTTTCTTATCATTCTTGGGGCCCCAGCGCTCGATGCACCCCCCCTGGGGATCGGGCACCGGCCTACGCTACAGGGCCACTACTTGCCGGGGCTGGGAATCACGGTCAAGCGTGCGGAGGCCGACGCGGTGCAAGCGAAGCTGTTGACCATCTCGGCGGTGTTCTCAGAGTGCGATGCCGATAGGCGTCGAGGTGGGGATCGTCGGGCTGCCAGTGCTGTAGGATCCTTGGTGTGGTCCGGCGCGGCCTGCCCGAGCTACCCCATCTGCATGGTCGGCGGCCAGTGCCCCGCGGAGTTCGGCGGCGGCGACACAGGCGTAATCGTGCTCGACGACTCGGAGTCCGCCGTCCCCATCTACCTGAGCGGCGAGGAGGGCGTGCGGCTGGAGCTCGGCGACTGCGCTCTGGTGCCAGCCCGCGCTAGCGGCTTCGCAGCGGGTATCGTCGGCGACGTGGTGGCGAATGGCGCGGCGGCCGTCTGGGCCGCCCCGGGCCCTTGGCTCGGCCGGGAGCAGCTCGTCCTGGTCGGCAACTGGGACCAGCCCGGCGTCAGCATCGAGGTCGGCGACATCGTGGGCGCCGTGATTCAGACCGACGGCGAGCCGGCCGGCGACGACCCGTCAGTGGCGCACGTGTGGCAGGATTGGGACGAGCTGCGGGACATCGTTGAGCTGGAGGTGCCGACGGACGAGTACTACGCCGAGCGTCTGGTCTACTGGCAGCGGAAGTACCCGAAGGCGGCCACCACCCTCCTCGAGCATCTCTTGGCGGTCGAGGGCCTGCTGGACGTGTGCATCGCGGCCGGGTACTCCATGGGTGCCGAGAAGTCCCTCGACAGGCTGGCTCAGCCCTCCATCGAGGCGCTCGGCGAGATCGTGGGCCGCGAGGGCAGCGAGGCGTGCGAGCGGCATCTGGAGCTTATCAAGAACTGGTCGGTGCTCGAGGACGTGGCAGCGCTGCGGCGGTTCCTCGGCACGTTCAACTGGATCCGCGGCCACTTCCCCAAGGAGGTGCAGAAGCCGCTGGGGATCCTCACGCAGCAGCTCAAGAAGGACGCCGAGTGGCCGATGACCTCCGAGAAGGTTGCGGCCCAGCGCGCCATCCAGCAGCTCGCGTGCGAGGCCATCCGCCTCGCGGTGATCGACATGGTCGGGGCGATCTCGAAGGACCGCCCGCTCGAGCAGGTCGCGGATTTTTGCCCCTACGGTTGGGGTGGCAGCGTGTATCAGCTGGCCGCCGACC